AAACAAACTCAGGGCAAGTTTAAAATAAGGGGCAAGTAGGTTGACTTACAAAGAAACACTTTTGAGTTTTGAATGCGCAAAAAAAAAACACGCACCCGCAAAGAAAACAGCTTCCCAGTTTGAAAAAGCAATGGAAGTACCGCAGCCGCAGTGATAGAGGGCCAGAGGCACGGGTGTCATAACTTCAGGGGTCGGCTGTGGTGTCAGATGGGAAAAGGGGGGGGATTCCAAGCAGGAAGAAGTCGTAAGGCAGAGAAGGAAAGGAGGAGAAAGGACGAAGGTGAACACTATCATGTGGGGGGGAGGAGGGGGAGGAAGGTGGTATTACCGTGGTACGGGTCCTCGTCACGGGTGGCAGGCATTTCTGTAGTCCACGAGTGGTTGGAAAAGAAGAAGAAGAAGAAGAAGAAGAAGAAGAAGAAGAAGAAGAAGAAGAGCTAGAAGATGTAACATGCATATTAAGCAGCTGTTGAACCAGCTAGGCCCGTGGTTGTAGAACGACCATTTCGTCAAAATGGACATTTTTTATTTTTTGAACGAAATTGAAACTGAGTTTTTTGGCCGAAAACTCGCCAAAATTTGCTGTAGGTACTAGGACGTGTTGTCCCTCTGCAGTTTGAGCATCAAGTGACAAGTGGTCTTGCTTGTTCCCTGCTGCTCTCTACCTCTGGTCCTCTGCTGATACGCATGACATTGTATAGTCTTCACTCTTCAACGTTAAACTATCGAGACGGTAAGGCTTCCGGGGAAAAAAAAAAAAAAAAAAAAAAGATTCCGAAACAAGATCATTGTGTTTCCAGCAGGTGCAGCTCCCCAGAGTCCCCGCCAATAGATGGAGACTTGAAAACTGGGAGGCACGTTTTCGAGGGGATGCAAGTATCACCTCTCTAAGGGGTGTCCACTGTCCAGCACTGGAAGTTAGCAAAAACTTAAGAAGAAAAGAGAACAAGAGTGTGGCAAGTAAAAAAAAAAAAAGAAAAAAAAAAAAAACCTCAATGTTGTAGTCGTGTCAATATAAGAGGGGATACGGAGTTGGAGTTATCATTAACTCCCCGTCGTCCTCTCGTCCACCTTCTTTTTTTTTCTTTTTTTTTGGGGGGGGAGGGGGTGGGGGGAGACCAGGCCCTCCCTTACTAGCCGACGTGATAAGCGCAGCCCCTCCCAGTAGTGGCAGTAGGTGATCTGGTTGCTCCGCCTAGGGTAGAGGTTGGAAGCTGCACCTGCTAGAAAACGGGCCCAGCGTGCCCTGTCCACCTAACTCCTCTCTGCTCCGGAACATGTTGTGGAAGATGGTCTGCACCTATGCACGAAAGCGCACAATATGCATCTACTAGCCTCGAGGAATAACAGCTCTACATATGTCATATTCTATTCGCAAGAAGAAACAAAAAAGAGAAAAGGATGTTAAACTTCAAAGCAGCACAACGAACTGGTTGTGTTTGTGGTTTGTTCTGTGCCTACCTAGTGCCGCTGGCAGGAGTCAAGATCCGGGCATCCCCAGGAGATAGGAGGCAAGGTAGGGGCATCCCCAACGGGCATTCCCAGAATCCCAGGAGATAAGAGGCAAGGTAGCGGCATCCCCAGGAGATAGGAGGCAAGCTACGGGCATCCCCAGGAGATAGGAGGCAAGGTAGGGGCATCCCCAGGAGATAGGAGGCAAGGTACGGGCCCAACGGGCATTCCCGGGAGATAGGAGGCAAGGTAGGGGCATCCCCAGGACCCCAGGAGATAGGAGGCAAGGTACGGGCATCCCCAGGAGATAGGAGCGAGAGGGGAACTTGAGGCCCGGAGCTGTGAAGTCAACACGGAGAAGCACACTTCAGGAAAAGAGGCTGAGAAGGGGGAAAGGTTTGACAAAAAAAAAAAGAAAGACACGACCACCTCCTGGAGGTCAGCTCTTCAACGGAATTGATATCCTCAGAGGACACGATCGAGAGGAGACGTCCGCAGCAGCTGGACCAGGTGTGATTCCGTGTGACGTCAACAAGAAGAAGCAAATTCAAATTTGCTAATACTATTCGATAAAAGATAAGAAAAACGTTGCCTTTATATTTATCGACTGTATAACGACGTGATGACATAAGCATGCACAGTGCCATGCACCCTCAGTCGTTGAGACAGCCAATCAATTAAAAGCGTAGTTACTAGAGACGAAGGGCGAAAAAGAGCACCACAGGAGGCAGAAGGCAAGTCTTAGATAGAAAAACGGTGAGTAATGAAGTTAGGAATGCAGTGAACGGCGCGATGACAACAGTGACAAGAGGTTCTCACTGGCTGACGATTTGTTGATTGCACTTCACTTTTCTTGTTGATGGTCGTCTGGTCTGCAAATGAGGAGTTCATTAGCAGCAGCTGCAGCGTTGTCGCTCTTACTCGTAGCGTCTCAGAATAGGCACCGCTTTATCATTGTCGAATTAAATTTTGTCGTTGGATAGGGAAAGGGGGGGATTGGCTACCTCGCAGTAGCGCATGATGGACAGCCAGGACAGCAGTTTTATAAACTCTTCCCTTCAGGTCTCTCTCCGTCCTCCCCCTGGTTCCCCTTCCCCACGCCCCTCCCCACCTCGCTCCCCACCCTCTTTTTCACTTGTTGTCTGATCGGAGTTCTTTTCGACGGACGGCTGCCAAAATTGTATACCCCACAAACTGATGGCACGCCTGGTCGGTCAGTTGGAGGTGGTGGCGCTCTGACCGTAGAGGACCTGCCGGAACACAGAGAGAGAGAGAGAGAGAGAGAGAGAGAGAGAGAGAGAGAGAGAGAGAGAGGAGAACGATGACCAGGTTGTTTGAACTTGCGGGGATGCTTAGAAGTAGCTGTTGAGGAAATCAGCTGGACCCGTAGAGGAGGAGTGTGTATTTGTATTACCTTGTTCTTCTTGCTTTCTCGTTTGTTGTCGTTTACGGTTTTCCTGCGTATTCTCCAATAACTCTTGCAGGAATCACCAGCAGTTTCCGGCAGGCACGCACAGAAGCGCATGCAGACACCGTAAAACACACACACACGCACAGAGAGAGAGAGAGAGAGAGAGAGAGAGAGAGAGAGAGAGAGAGAGAGAGAGAGAGAGAGAGAGAGTCTTGCCTTGCGTGATGACAGGGGATCATAGGGAAAGGTGGGAGATGCGCAGTCCAGGAAATGATGAGGTGGGAGTGACTATTGGGCGCGGGCCGCCTGTGAGGATCCATCTTTCTCCCTCTCCCGGGAGGGACTTCGACGACAAAACAGCTTACACTCTGACGTTTCAGAACCTGACGTACAAGGTGACGGTGAAGAAGAGCAGCAGCGATGGGGCCAATGCAGAGAAGGACTTGTTGAAGAACATCAGTGGAGAGGCTAGCCCTGGGGAAATCTTGGCCATCGCGGGTCCATCGGGAGCGGGGAAGTCCACACTGCTGGATGCGCTTGCTGGTCGGATCAGGGCCCCAAGTCTGGAGGGCGTTATTCTGGCCAACGGCAAGCCTGTGGACGGCAAGCAGTTTCGCAAGCTCTCTGGGTACGTTATGCAACATGATGCCCTGTTTGCGTATCTCACAGTGAAAGAGACGTTGATGTTCAGCGCTCGTCTTCGGCTTCCTGGTGACATGCCGATGCACGTGAAAGCGGCGCGCGTCGACATGCTTATCGCGACGTTGGGTCTTCGTGACTGTGCGGACACACGGATAGGCAACGAGCAAGTCCGAGGGGTGTCGGGGGGAGAGAGGAGGCGGGTCTCCATCGGTGTGGATCTGATCCATGACCCCGCCGTTCTGTTCCTGGATGAGCCGACGTCTGGACTGGACAGCACCTCGTCGCTGCACATGGTCCAGAACTTGTACGAGATTGCGACCGATCGCCGCCGTACCATCCTCATGACCATTCATCAGCCTAGCTTTCGCATCCTGGAGCATATCCACAAGATCATGATCCTGTCACGTGGCTCCTTGGTGTACAGTGGTACTTATCCTGACCTGTCGATCTTTCTGACCGACTACGGCAGACGCGTTCCCGACCATGTCAACGTGCTGGAGTTCGCTCTGGATGTGATCGAGGAGCTGCAGGAGTCACCGCACGGTGTTGCTGCCCTTGCCCACTTCCACTCCACCAGATCCAAGCTGCCCCCTTCGTTGGCTGGCTTGAGCAATATCGGGCAGCTGGCAGAGGCTGCAGACTTCGCCACAAGTCCATGCATGGAGACGCTGACTCTCTGCCACCGCAGCATCCTTAACATAGCTCGAACGCCGGAGTTGTTTCTGTGTTCGCTAGCGCTGATGATCTTGACGGGAATGGTCTTGGGATCGCTTTTCTACGGCGTGCAGAGCGACGAGAGGGGCATTTTCCACAGGACCTCCTTCTTCGCCTTCTCCTGCGCTCTTCTGCTGTTCAGCTGCATCAGCGCCCTGCCCTTTTTCTTGCTTGAGAGGAACATTGTCATGCGCGAGACGAGCCGAGGAGCCTATCGCACTTTTTCCTACGTCGTTGCCAACGGTGTGGTTTTCCTCCCCTTCTTCTTCATCCAGGCCTTGCTGTTTACCCTGGCTTCTTACTTCTTGGTCGGTCTCGTCCGTGATACGGGCGCCTTTTTCCTGTTCGTCACCACCATGTTCCTCACCATCACCGTCGGCAACACGTTCGTCACATTCTTGAGCACTCTGGTGCCTGACTTCGTCGCCGGGACCACCATCATCGCTGCCGTCACCACCTTCATGTTCCTCTTCTCTGGTTTCTTCATTCCTATGTCCGACATTCCCCACTACTGGATCTGGTTCCACTACCTCTCCACGTTCAAGTACCCGGTAGAATTGCTGCAGAAGATCGAATACAGTCACATCGAGCACTGGCGAGACGGGATCTCTGGCAGCGACGTCGCCCGGCAGCTGGGTTTTGGGGATGTGAGCATCAGAGGCAACCTTGGCGTGCTTGTAGGGATGGTGGTTGTGTATAGGATCGCCTTCTACGTTGGTCTTCGTGTGCGGCGCTCCAGTACGCGCAAGTAGCAGAGTTTCAGCAAGATAGCGAGAGGCAGAGAAGCCAAACAAAAAACAACAAAACAAAAAAGGATTAACAGCTTTGCATTCACCACTGCAGCAGGCACACACACAACAAAAAGGAAACAGGAAAAAAAAAAAAAAAAAGGACCATGCATGCGATTGCATTGGATGATTGGAGGAGTACTACTAATGATCATATATAACGCAGCTGCTCTCAGAAAAGCTGTCAGTGACACAAGTTACACAACCAAAAAAAAAAAAAAAAGGAAAAGAAAAGTTAAAGAAGGAGAGCAGTGACCAATAAACTCATGCCTCTGCACAGGAGAGCACAGGAGTTGGAATGAGCGAAAATTCAATTAGAGGGGGCAATCGGCAAGAAAATCGGCAAGAAACCAACAAGTGTCTGTGTACGATACTCAGAAAAAGTCTCAGATACTTTACGTGGAGCTACTACTAATTAATAATATAAAAAAAAGACCAATGACTTATCATGAGTATACGTACGATGGATAGATAGATGGATACCTTTGTTTGTATGTACTGTCCTATACTATTTATGATGAACCCGGGCAAGAGAGAGCCGTAGTGTTCGGCCTACACAGAGGGGCGTATGAAACAAACTCACTTTGTAGTAGAAGATCAAGTCCTGTCTGCCTTGAGAGTGATGAATTAAGGATTGGTAGTAATTTGGTACATCGTTTTGTTTCATTTGAGAGCGCGTGAAGAAGGACAAAGTTCATATATTTATGGTGAACCCGGGCAAGAGAGAGCCATGGCCTTGGGCCTACACAGAGGGGCAAACAAACTCAATTCGTAGTGTACAGTTGTCAAAGATCAAGTCCACTCCTTCGCTTCATTTGAGAGCCCGATGGAGGACAAAGTTTACCATCAATGCATCCGCTTTGATCATGCCACTAGGCATTTCATTCAAGCATTGGACAATGATTCAAAGACTTTGTCGCATTTCTTCACTGCGGACATAACTTCGCATAAGTCTTCCGTATTCATAATTTCTTATTCTTAGACTATGATAGTTTAGAGTCTTTATAAAAAATTAAAAAAAAAAAAAAAAAAAGAAGAGTCTTTAGACACAGTATATGAGGCTTCTATGTTGGTCTTACTATGAGGAGGTCCAATATGCGCAAGCAAGCTGTTGAAGTTTCAGACACTTCAAGTCCTTTTCTTATTCCTTCTTTCCTTTTCCTGGGGGAGGGGGGAGGGGGGAGGGGGGGGAAGAGGGGGGTATTTGCTCCCCCCTCCCCCCTCCCTCCACCTTTCCTCTCGGGCGGGTTGTGGTCTATTGAAACGTCTTCTCTGTTGGTCTTCGTGTGACCAACTCCAACGTATCAATTGTGGTGATCCCCCATTAGTTTCTTCTAAAACATTCCCCATTGACAACTGGGGTACAGTAGAGTACAGTATGGTGATACTACTATGATCATGGGGACTTGAAGAAGAAGCTGTTTGCTTTTGAAAAAAGAAAAAAGAATCATCATGATACTGTTTGCATTTGAAAAAAGAAAAAAGAATCATCGTACTGTTTTCTTTTTGCTTTCAACTTTCAAGCTTCAGCAGGTGTAATGAAAAAAAGAAAAAAAGAAAAAAAGAAAAAAAAAAAGTGTTACCCAATGGTGACCTAGAGAGATGAGTGAGGCTCAGTGAGCACTGAGAAGCAGTGAGAACAGTGAGAAGTCAAGTGAACCTATCATGATCCATCCTCCATCCTTGACCTTGACATCTCAACGGAGTTATGGAGAGGATGGCCAGGCCAAAAGAAATGGGAGAATTGGTAGATAGAGAGGCTAGTAGAGGCCACCAGGAAACCTTTTTGGTTTTCCGCGACCAAAAGGGTTTCGCGTGGGCGACTTCCACCAAGTATCCCAAAGGAAATGGTGGGCAAGAAAGATGAGTGAGTGAGAGAGCAAGCGAACCTATCTTGCTCCACACTCCATCCTGGACCTTTTTTTTTTTCTTTTTTTTTTTAACAAAAGGAACTCCAATCTATTGGTGGGGAGCATCACCTGCTGGAAATTGGGTCCAGGCTGTCCAGCGTCCCAAGAACAATGAGTATTCTGTTTATTTAGGAACGTCGATCATGAAATCAATCCATCCTGGACCTTGACCTCTCAAAGGAGAGGACGGCCAAAAGAAATGGTGATACTGTAAGATACGAAAAGTGTTAACCCAAATCTAGAGCTCTGTATCTGTATTCAATGGGACGCTGCACCCCATTTCCAGCACGTGAAGCTCCCCACTAGTTATGGCACTAATGCAAAGGAGCAACCAGCCCCACCTTGGCTGCACCCCATTTCCTGCAGATTCTGGAAACCTAATCCTTCACCATCCAACAGATGCTTCTGATTCTTGTGCATGGCTTGGCAATAAACACGAACCGGATCAGCTCCTACAAGTATCCTACAACCAAGGTAAGGCCATTGATCCCCATTGATAGTCTTTTCCAAAACCAAATGCTTATCATAACATCCCAGGTCAAAATTATGCATGATCGAATTGGCTGCTATTTTTTACCTAGGCTGCGCTTCCTTGTATTTAATAAACAAGGACACATCATCAATGAGCCTGCACCCAAACACTAACTTAGCATCGTTACCAAGACCTCGAAGGAAAGTAAATTCGTTGTGTATACACAGCAAACATGCCAGGGCTGGGCTCGGCGATTTGCCCATTGGTATCCCTAAATGTTGCTTAACTATCTTACCCATGAACATTGTAAAAGTTCGTTCAAGAATCAAGATCAAAAGAAATGAATCGAATAAGAAGTGAAAATCTCACTGGCTTAAACCCAACCTCGGAACAAGAAACTTTACAGAAACGCACTGATTTACTCCGAGCATTGACCAGACATTTGAAAAAGCCCCTCTCTTCAAAAATACTAACAGCCCATTTTACAGCTGAAATGATTAATGAATGAGGAAGCTGACAGAACATTTCTTTAACATCAAAACTGCAGGCAAGCACCTCATTATTCTTATTAATGCTCTTATTAACCCTAGATAGAAATGAGGGAAGGATAGAAGTACTTCGTAAATTGAAATGGCAAGCACAGGGTAGTCTCTTGAGGAATTCATTAACACAAAAAGATGTGATACGTGCAGCCTCCCGAGAGGGCTCATTCCAAGATGGGCAGATAGGGCGCCACTTGTTGTCGTCCTTGTGTTTCGCGGATAACATACGACCTACCTAATTTGCCCGATGCCACCCATAGAGCCAACCGCTGCAGTTTCAGTGCCTTGTAATCCTCCTTGCACCGCTGCAGAATAGCATCTTCATCTTCTGAAAGCTTTTGTAGCCCCGGATTATCAGTAAACAGCTTACGAACACCTCCAGCATAGATAAGTGGACAGCAAGCATAAGTGTCACCGGTATTATGGTCCAAGGGGACTAATACCAATCCGTCAAACAATCTTTTGGATTCCCGAATAACCTTCTCAGTATTGCTAACATGAGCTCCAGTTGTCAAACACCCGGTTAAGCTTGAGAGAGAAATAGTCAATGACATACTGATACCAAAAAAGTTTCGCAAAGGCTGGACAATTTGTGTCGCCAATGAACCAATGATATCAGACCTATAGTCGGGACAGACGATGTTCTTAGAGTTAAGTAAACAAAAAAGGAGAAAATCTCCCTTACTAAATCTAAAGGCCATGTGCCCGTCCACCCGTGGATACTTCGCACTTGCACCAGTACAGGTACAATTACAGACAGGGCTAGCAGCATGATATCTAAAGTTATGAAGTATTTCCGCAACAGACTTATTTTGTGTCCATATTACTCGAAAACATTTACATACAGATTGAAGATAAGGGGAGGGAAAATTCAGACTCAAAATACATTGCTTACATACTTGTCTAATGGCCGATTTTACCACATGAGAATCAAAGGTGATGCGAACCGTCAGACGAGCAGAGAGACAGAGATTAAATCTTCTTTGGCATACTTGAGAAAGAATAAGGCGAAGAGTTTGTTCGAAATAGCTCTCACGGAGTCATAGGAAGAGACCAGATAGTAAGATCGTAGGATGAAAGTTCATGTTTGGATTGGTGTTGATTGAGGAGGCGGATAAGATTATCTTTAATGGGTCAGGATTTTGAACAGAAGAGGGCAACCGAGTGAACCGAGATAGTAAAACCAGGTGTGAACGAAGATCCGAAGTTCTTAAGTAGTGAGCTAGGAAGAGAAGATGAAGAGATAGTAGGAGAACCAAAAAGACGACGGACGAGTTTCTAGTTTTCAGATAAGCGATCTCCAGAAAGAGTATTAAAAGAAAAAAGTTTTAAAAATTTTGAAAGGGAAGCTTCCCGTAAGATGGTGATAAGACTAGATGTGGTATGGCCAAGAGATGAGGAAAATATAAAGGGATTAGATCCAGGTCAGACGGATGAGTAGATGGGAGTAAGACTTAACAAGGGCGATGTCGAATTCTCCTACGATGAGAACAAGGTTTGATTGAGTTGAGGGAGGGAGTAGTAGTAGCACAGAAGGTCATCAGCATTAGCGGCAGAAAAAATTGGAACAGTGATATAATTGTGGGCTTCAATCCTACGAAACCAGCAATAAAGCTTTCTATTCCTACTTAGTAATCGGGAGGAAAGGGTACAAGCAGTATGTTCATTCCAACGGACGGATACAAACCTAGAAATACATCCAACGTATAAATGTTTAAGCCAAGGAGAAGTAAGAATATATACAGCAGGCCCTGGACAGATACGGAAATCATAGTCACTATTTGACAAATGTAATAACGAATCTCGAAATTTAATCCCCCAATGAATTTCCTTATTGATGATCAATAAAATGACGACGAATCTAAACAGGTAAGAAAACTCATTAGCGGAAAGATCCTTATGATAATCTATTAATCTCGAAAGAACAGCGCCGATGTCATGAGAGCAGATACGCTCAGGGCGTGTTCTCACTCGCCGGTGGCGTCTTCAGTCTACGTTGCATAATGTTGATTGGCGTCCTCATCTTCATCATCTTGCACACCTCGAGATTTCAGTCATTCTGCAAACTCTCTTATTTCTCGAATCTCTGCAACATCAGCCTTGGCTTGATCGAGCTTGATATAAGTGATGCCTTCTTCTTCACATAACTTATGCATATCCGCCTTCTTTAGGGGACGAAAATCCTTCTTGAATTGCATTTGATACTTACACAGTTGAATCTCATCCGGATCCCCTTGAATCTCCTCGACTGCCTTGGTTCTCCTAGGTTCCTCAGGATCTCCTTCAGCATCTGACTCATCGTCTTCAATCCATACAGCACTCAAGACAGGTTTGAGATTGTGAGGAGTCGTTTTCTTGCAGATGATCTACGGGACCCTACCCTAGGCTTGGTGAGCATTTGAGCGCTTATCCTGGCCATGCGTTCTTTAAGAGCTTGAGCTGCTTCCTTATCAGCGGCCTTCTTTCATGCAAGCGCATCTTTGTACATCTTATGCAAAGCCTCAAGGTCTTTCGGAGTATATAGTGCATCGCCGATAGGAACCATTCGTTGCTTACCCTTCGCAGGTTCGGTTGGTGGACTCGTGGTGGACCCTGGTGGTGACTTCCCCTGTTAACCGCTTCCCCGATCCCTTGATATCCTCGACCACCCCTTTAAGATCCAGAACATCCTTCTCGAGATGAGAATTTTCAGATTGCAGTGTGCTAAGCTCAGAACTTCGTTTGTCAAGAGCAACGCATATCTTTTCCAACTCTTGCAATTGTAACTGTAAGGCAGCAACCTCATCAGATTTCTCCCCCGGTTTCCTCTTCTCATTGCGGAGCTTCAGTTCCTCAATCTCTCTCCTCAAGGCATCTTCTTCACTGCATCGGTTTTGCGCCATTTGAAGAGTTTCCTTCTCCTTACACAACACATCCAATGTTGAGTCCTTTTTGTCTCCTGCGCATTTCGTCTTCAGGTCGTCTATCTCCTGCCTAAGCTTGCTGACTTCAGATTCATCATCATCCGGGATTTCCCCCTTCTTTCCTAACACAGATTCACACACAACCTTCATACTAGACTTGACTATCTTCCCTAATCTTGCTTCTTGCAACTCCCTCTCCTTCTTCTCTCTTGCACATTTCTCCTCCTCAACCTGCAGTTTTTTCTTCTCGGCTTCCAGCAACTCCAACCAAGCTCTTGTTTCCGTTGCTCGCGTTCCTCCGCCTGTTCTGCTAGCAAACCAAAGATCCTATCGAGTCTCTCATCTCAATTTAATCTCTCATCTCGACCCCTAGATCCACCACCCCAAGGCTTTGAATACCGCTGCCCTCCAAAATTCTGATAGTTACGAAATTCATTGTTCCCACCGTTATACCCTCCACCGTTGCTATAACCCTTGTTCTTTGTGGCCTGATATGGTACAATTGCGTTGGAGGTGCAGTAATCCCTTCACCTGATATGTTCTCATTTAAAAATTTAAAAAAGGTTACATAAGTATGGAGAGTGCAGTAATCCCTTCACATTGTGAGGTGGTCGCTATGTTTTCAGGGGTCCCCTCTACTTAGTAGTAGTGGTAGGTAGGCAGTGTAAGGTCTCGCCACCACAAGCTCACTCTCAATCAACCTGATCGGGTCTAGTCACTCTAGTGTCGACCCAAAACGACCTACCCAGGTGGGGCCAGCTTTCCCAATCCACGCTGGCCCACTTCCCACTTCGGACCAACCCTAACCCTAAGTGGTCAGCCCTAACCACTTAGGTTAGGGTTAGGGTGGATAAGTCCACTCTCACCGGCAAGTAGAATGCACTCTGATACCAATGTTAAGATCCTGGCCAATTTTGAAATGCACATTCATGAGAAAGTACAATGTTGTTCAATTGCAAAAAGAAATGAATGAACTTGAGAGGAGAGAGAGGGAAAAAAGAAGAAGAAGAAGAAGAAGAAGAAGAAGAAGAAGATGTACACCAGCAAAGACCAATGATAATTCCCTCCTTCATGAAACAATCTCCTCCTCCGTTTCTCCTCCCCTCTTATTCAATCAATAGATAATAATAATAATGTTGAATGGTTGAACCAGAATCATGTTTGAATCCCTCTTCTACTGAAAGTATCACATGAGGTCCACACTAGCCAAGGCCACCCCTCTTCATCCTTCCTCCAAGGACCAAGGTTGAGGCTATGGCGGACTACCAGGGCATTGCCCTGCTATGCAAAGGACAACACAAAGCAGCTATGGCTGCTTCTGTTCAGGCTGCCATGCCTGACTCTGCCTCGAAGCTTCTTGGTGCAGCTCTACCCCAGCGGGGCCTTCCAGATGCAGCGTTCACCAAGGTGACGAAGATGGCGTCCACCATAGCCAGATAAGCACCTTTGGCGCTCCCCCCTTCCTAGTCGTTGTCTTCCTCCTCCTCCTATCTTTGCTGCTTCCCCAGCAGCATTGCTCTATGCTAGCGCTGCTCCAGCCAACGCTCCAACCAGTGTGTCGCCAAACTTGCACACCAACAATGAGGATCACTTCACTCCTCTTGGAGATATAGCGGTCTGCTTGCCTCTTGGCGAGTGACTTCCTAGGCCACGCGGCCTCCAAGCAACCGGTACCTCCTCCCATTCCGAGGGAAACATCATTGCAGACTTTGATATTGTCTGTACAGGCCCTAGACTCAGACTGGTTGGACTGGTACCCGCCTAGACCTAGCCTACAACTACTGGGCCTCTAAAAATGCCAACTTTGTCTTCTTATGCTCGGCCTCAAGTACCTGCCACATCTACCTCTTCTTGGGCACGGTGTGGTACCAGCCTACCTGCTACTTTAGTGTTTTTTCGCTGCTCCAAGTGTCGCGGGCCTTTTTCCCCGCCACTTGAGTGTTTTCCCCGCTGCAACCCTCAATATCACGGCCACAAGTACCGACCCTTTGAGCCTTCCGCAAGGACAAGTACCCTTACAGGTCACACACACACTCAAACCGCAGCAGTCACACAGGCACGCAGACCAGCAAGCATGCACACACTTAGACCTAGAAAACTCAGCAACAAGCGGGAAACTCAGCAAGGCATACATTCCGTCAGCAAAACTCAGAAATCAGTTGTGTGTCTCAGTCCGTGTTTGGCAGGTCCTAACACATATATAATATATATTATATATATTAGGATGGTGGCATGTATGAAAGGGTGTGGGAGGACAGTCGAAACACTTAATCAATCAATCAATCTGATTCAATCAGCACAGTAACTGTGCATAGGCTGGAGTTGGGGCAGTGAGGGCCCGGGGTGCAAATTGGATGTGACACAGTGACGTGGTTGTGAGGATCGTGGATGGGGTTGACTTTGACAAAGTGAGGGTTGCAATTGGACATGCTCTCACAAAATCGTCAATCAGTTTATCAGTTGCTCTCTCTCTCTCTCTCTCTC